GAAGTCGATATCGATTCTTATCGATTGTCGGAGATGCTTCCTTCTGCTTGTTACATACATTTGACTTTTGCACATATACAATATACCCTTATACCCATTTTTAATGGGTTCAGCGTATACAAATTTAAACAAGTAAGAGGTTCTAGTCGGGAGCTCCCGACTAGGGGATACCCTGAACCCTCTTATTCCAACACCAAATAAATTAATAAAAAAAACTTCCCTTGGCAGGGCTCAAACTCGCGACAGACCGCACCACCTGCTATGCCTCTACTCAGCATCCACACCAACAATTAAGTACTTATGATAAAAAAAGGAACTAAAGTAATATTACAAAAAAAAGTCGCAATTACCATGCTGTTAGAATGCGAAGCAGACGCGCATGAATGTATGTGTGTACATGTATACAAAAATTCTTAAAGCTGCTACCCCAATCAATTGCGCAGTTGCATATAACTTTGGTTTTTCTTAACCGATCTTTATAAAATGTTCTACAGTATATCTTATTGTACCATAGAATATTTGTGTATTCTGAAAAAGTTAATTGCATTTAAATTGTGGTTTAAATTGGTTGGCAATATAAGTTGGGTTATTAACTTGATTATAGCTCTGGGGTGGTAGCGAGGAGGTGGCGATAGGTATGAAATGAAAGATACTTGAAATATCTATAATATTCTAGAAGCAACATATCATGTTTGGTGGCTCTAGCTCTTATTATTTTCCCACTTTGCTAAAAAAACAGGATGTCGATATTGATTTTTATCGATTGCTTGGAAACGGAGTTATTTATCGATTATCGGAAACAAACTCTGCGTGGGAACTAGGAGCACCTGCATCAAAAATTTCAAGTGTCTAGCTCTTATAGGTTCTGAGATTCTTGCGTTCATACATACGGACGGACGGACGGACAGACAGACGGACATGGCTAGATCGGTTCGGCTATTGGTACTGATCAAGAATATATATACTTTATGGGGTCATATCCCTTCCTTCTGCCTGTTACATACATTTGGATTTTATACAAATACAATATAACCTTATACCCATTTTTAATGGGTTTAGGGTATAAAAATAAATAGTATTTAAGCCATCTTGAAGTTCTTAGTAGAGACTTTTTATTAAATTGGCAATTTTTTTTAATATCAAGAGCAGCCAAGAATTCATCCAACAAGTCCCCGATTAATTTTTGGACAACTCTGCTGCAAGGGTAGAGCTTCAGCCAGTTCTTATGAGGGTGCTACAAGCTTGTGTGGCTCCCAACCACTACGGCCCATGGTCTCCGTAAAAGGATATGTATTCGACCAGAAACTTACAAGCTGAATACTCATGAATGAAACAAAACTCAACAATTGCTCTCTACAGATAGAACAAAATTAAGACACTAAAATAGGTGGAAACATTGTCCATTGGCCCTAAGCAGCAATAATGAGATTGACCCTATTTTATAGGATCCCAGTTTGGTAGTCTGCCTTCACTGCATTATCGTGCATGTTAAAAGTCTAGTGGTAAGCAAAGCGCTATCAAAAAATGGACGCGATGACCACGTCATCCATGGTGATTGCAACCTTTATTCTGGACAAGGAGGGTAAGTATTCCGAAAATCCGATAAGCTTTGGCAGATTACAGATTTCTTTTATTTTCAATACCCAACAATTTAAGCAGAGTAGCCAAAGTTAACCAGGCCAAATCACCAAATTCATCCAGTCATATAACTATTACTAACGATTAAGATTAAAGCATCTCCATCCAGTTAAGCGGCTTGTAAGCAGATTCATGGTATCACAAGAAACGCAAATTGCATTGTACGGTCGTGTTTCTATTGACTTTCTCTGAAACATTTGTATGATGGTTTTAATGTTTTTCGTTCCGATCCTAATGGCAATAGAGGAGTCGCAATTTACGTGAATAAAAAAATATCGAGTAGGGTATAAACAGCCAACTAGTAATAGTCCTTAAGCTCTTAAATAAATACATAAACGAATTAAACATTTTACATGGGTCCAACGACCTTATTGAAATAAAAAACGACCATGATTTAATAATATATAACAACTTAAAGATAATACAAAAAGTAGACCCATCCATAAAGTGCAAGCCTTAGGCATATATCCTGTTAATTATTCAATCCCCATCTACTTTACAAAAACCATTGCTTAAATATTTTATTTTTGTTCAACAATTATTTCTAGGCATGACTTTACTAGGTTTAATTCATGTAATTGGAGCTGTTTTTCAACTAGTCAAAGCTTAACTTAAATCACCTAAAACTAAATAGTGTCCATTTGTATAATACTTTTCCACCTGTTTAAATTTAAATTGTTTAGACCAAAGATAATCCCTGGTTTCTTGAACGAATACAAGCAGCTTTTGTTAAGTGAAGTGAGGCTATTAAAAGATGGAATTGCTACAAAACAATGCAATTTTATCAGCAATTTTAAAATAACAAGTAATTAGTGAAAACCCTTATTTAAAATGCTAAACGAAACTACCATCAAATTAATTAATACTTGAAAAAAATCTAAAAGCAATGGAAAAAGGTAGTAGACAAGCTCGTAATATAAATACATGTGCATACGACCCTCCCCTTATGATTCGTGAGATACTACATGGATGGGCCTTAATTACTTAAATCGGTGTGGCTGCTGACTAGAGGTTTAGCAAGTGGTGCGGTCTGTCGGGAGTTCAAGGAGTTTTTTGCTGTGGCTGTTGAGTAGAGTCGCCAGCATGTAATGCGGTCAGGTGCGAGTTCGAACCCTGCCAAGGGAACTTTTTTTTTTTAATTTATTTGGTGTTGAAATAAGAGGGTTCAGGGTATTCCCTAGTCGGGAGCGCCCGACTAGATCTCTTACTTGTTTGGGTATCTTTTATATTTGTAGTAATACAATATGTAATAATTATGTAGTAATCTCTTATTTCATTAAATTGGAATAGAACTTTTTTATTAATGTATCCAGTATCACCTAATCACCACATCGTCCTACTTTAGAGGTTGCAATGCAATCCTCTATCTAATTCAGCAACTACCAGTAACCCTGTTGCCTTAATCAACTTTTCATGCAACTGACTTGTCTTTTTTATGTGCCGTTGTTCATGTTCTTAATTTTTTTTTAAAACACCGTGAATTTCTTCTTAGAAAAATGTACTCCCAACTCAATCCATTCGATTGCTTATTCTAAGCGATCCTGGTTAACTCCCACACTATCAAATTTAAAAATTATTAAGTCAAAATATTTGTATCAAATATTATTTGAGTATTGACTTGGCTAAATACTCCATAACCAAGTCAAAAATTGATTTAATTATCATTGCTATGACATCTTAATCCGTGCAAAAGGCGTTCGTCCAAAATCCGAAAATTATTATACTTTATAAACTTGAAAAGTAATTCTTCTTACCCCTATAATATTACTTTCTCTAGGAGCAAGTATAGAACTCCTATTATTTCCAATTCCTCAACTTTTTCCGATATGAATTTATTGAAATGTTCTAACTCTCTGGCCCTGAAAATATTTCGAGTTGTCTACTCAAAGATTGTAATGCCCTTCTTCGCAAAAAATTATAGAGGCATTGCAAAACTATCCGCTTTACCTTAATTATTTGAATCAAGTAAGAGGTACTAGTAGGAAGCTCCCGACTAGGGGGTACCCTGGACCCTCTTCTTCCCACACCAATTACAAATATAATTACTATTCTAAAAGCTTAATGTTAAGTTTGGTGACTCTCGCTCTTATTATTTACCAAAATTGACCAAAAAACAGGAAATCGATATCGATTTTATCGATTGCTTGGAAACGAAGTGAGTTCTCGATTATCGAAAACAAACTCGATCTGCGCAGGCACTAGGAGCACAAAAAATCTAAAATTCAAGTCTCTAGCTTTTATAGGTTCTGAGATCCTTGCGTTCATACATACGGACAGACGGTCAGACAGACGGACGGACGGACGGACAGACAGACGGACATGGCTAGATCGACTCGGCTATTGGTGCTGATCAAGAATATATATAATTTATGGGGTTGGAGATGCTTCCTTCTGCCTGTTACATACATTTGGATTTTGCACAAATACAATATACCCTTATACCCATTTTTAATGGGTTCAGGGTATAAAAATACTTTCCCCGGTAGGGTTCGAACTCAAGACAGGCCGCACCACTTGCTATGCCCTACTCAGCAGCCACACCAATAATTAAGTACGTGTGATAAAAAAGGAACTAAATTGCATTACAGAAAAAATTCGGAATTACCTTGTCCATGTCCATGTCCGAACCTATAAAAGCTAGAGACCTGAAACTTTAAATGTAGATGCTCCTAGTGCCTGCGCAGATCGAGTTTGTTTCCGATAATCGATAACTTACTCCGTTTCAAGCTATCAATCAAAATCGATATCGATATCCTGTTTTTTGGGCAATTTTGGTAAATAATAAGAGCTAGACTCAACAAACTTGAATTATAGCTTCTAAAATAGAATATATATATATGCAATTGATGTTGGAAGAAGAGGGTTCAGGGTATCCCCTGGTCGGGAGCTCCCGACTAGAACCTCTTACTTGTTTTTTTTTTTCCCCCTGGTGTTGCTGTTGAGTAGAGTCGGCAGTAAGTAATGCGGTCAGTTGCCAGTTTGAACCCTTTTTTTTAAATTTATTTGGTGTTGGAATAAGAGGGTTCATGGTATTCCATAGTCGGGAGCTCCCGACTAGAACCTCATACTTGTTTACTATATCTACATCGACTAAGCTATTGATACTAAATTTAAATATACTATATGAGTCAAGGGTACAAGAAAGAATTAACTGAAGTACGCAGTTATACGTGCAATCAAAAAAACCATAAGATCAGTGCCGAGAAGCATACAGTTCCTTAATTAACGGATGTAAAGGTAAGAGTGACTTTCTAATTAAAATTTGTGTGTACGTGCCACATGCAAAATAAAATTAGCTACCTGATTATTTATAAATTCGTTTTGTAAAAATTTATAAAAATAAAACTGAACCATATATTTACCTGTAGTAAATGAATTATCCTAGAAGTTATCTCAAGTGCTGCGAACGCAGTGCGAGCACTAAAACTTTGTGCGCCCATTTGAAAACCACGAATAATTCTTCCATCCTTATTATATTGTTGCAAGGGAAGTCTAAACAAGTCAAAGAAACCTTGAACTGAAACATATATTTAAATAAAAATATTAATTATAAAAACGTTAGACATTTATAACTTATAAATAACAGCAATTTAATGAAATAACCCATTTTTTATTCAAAATCCATTGTCTGGTATTTTTATTTATTGATTTTTGTAAGTTGATCCTGCAATTTAAATGATTACTCGAGAATCTAAAATTCGATTTTAAAAAGACGTACGGTTTCTGACAACTATTAAATGTATTCATTTATACACTTTTGAATTAAGACAAGTAAGAGCCTCTAATCGGGAGCTTCCGACTAGAGGATACCCAGAACCCTGTTCCCCCAACACCAAAAGCTCGTTTGATTCAGAAGTAATAAAGATAAATTAAAAATAATTGTTTTCTCGGTTGCACACGAGCTCGCAACAGAGTCTTAATGAGAAAAAAAAATATAATAGCAGCACAAAAAAACAATACAATCGCAATTACAATGCTGTTGATACCCTATAGTTACGCTGGTGTAAAGCGGCGAGCCTATACTAGCGATCAGATGCATCACCTATCATTACGTAATTCGCCAATGAACGGTCTTGCAATGGCCCCCAATTAATACTAACGATCTTATTATTTACTAGTCGTTAGAAAATTCTTTAGCATATGGTCATGCAATGCGCGCGATAATGTTAATGATTATTTTTTTGAATGGTCTATGCTTCGTACCAAATATTTGATGAAGAAAAATAAATAGTAGTCCAATTCCTAGATTAAGCAGACGAAAAATTTTATTGGCAACAAAAGAATTATAAAATATATATTTTAATAATTTAATGAATTTTAGCTGCTTAGGTATAAATTTTTTTGAATATAAGGTTATTAGTTTGTAAATTAATGCCAAGAGTGAATGGGCTAAGTAAAATGTGCTAGTAAAATGTGCTACCACAATCGCTAAGTGAAGTGTACTAACAAAATCATCAACTGTATTGCACCAGTTAGATCGCTACGTCAACGTCACACATTGTCATACCGCTCGGTGAGCAGCAACTACGTCCCGATAGTAAATTCGTTAGTCTAGTTAATTGGTGTTTTCGTGGTTTAAGACCAGTCCCCAACCTGAAAAGGAAGCATAATCGTTAACGGTGCACCGGTGAGCCTGAACTAGACAGGGTAGAATTTAATAAAGATGTATGCTTTGCGCTTGATTTTGATTTAGATTGATTTCGAAATCGATTTTTATCGATTGCTTGGAAACGGAGTGAGTTATTGACTATCGGAAACAAACTAGATCTGCGCATGGACATGGACTTACATATATGATTAAGAATATATATATGTATATATTTTATGAGGTCGAAGATGCTTCTTTCTGCCTGTCACATACATTTACATAAATACATTATACCCTTTTTACACATTTTCAATGGGTTCACGGTAAAAATATGATAGTTTGCTACGTATTTTTACGATTTTTGATTTTTATTTGATTCGTTTTTGATTCTGTGTATATTTTCCCCCCAACGGTGGTACCTTTTAGGTTTCGGCTCATGACACCTCCCCCTTGGCTGGACCACAAGCGAATCCTACTGATACCCAATTCGCTATTGCAGCGGCGATGCTCAATTTCGAATTAAGGACCGGCGGACGGTCTCTTACTCAGGGCTCGGCGATGGGAAGTTCTAGTTAATTAGATGATGTAAATCTACTTTTAACAATTCGATTATGGCCAAGGTGCTACTTAACTTAGTGGATCATTTTCCGATATAATAACAAGTTGGGGAGTTACCGACTAGGCTATTTCATCAGAACACCAGAATATCGGGCTTAACCTACTCTGCAAAGAAAGAGCCCACAGCAAATTCGAAAACTTTACTTTACACTCATTCGTATATTTAAACACTTTCGTGCTTATGTGCATGTGTCCGACTGTAGCCATGGTCATAGTACTGTATTCGTCCATATAAAGAAAGGATGCTCACGGCAGCTAATAAAATATTTAAGGACTGACTCCCCAAAGCCCACATAGAGAAAGGCGGCTAGTCATTTGGTCATGATATTTTCATTAAAGACATTTCAGGCTAAAAAATCTGCAACAGAAATTAAAATTTTAATCCCAGTCCGCAACGAATAAGTTAACAATAATCCGTGCAACTTTTCTTTGAACTTGAAGTAGGTCCTTGATCTGGATTGCAATGTGCACTTCGAATAGATTTTTTTAATCTAAGAAATGTCTTGGAAATATGCTCCTCGCTTCTCATTGCATGGGATAGCCAAGCAGCCGCACGGAAAAATTCTATGCGGATAATTAGTTCCAAACTGATCTTATACTTCTAGAAAGGATGTCGCGACAGTTCTCTGCCCGTAACTGATGAAGCAGGTAACGTAGAAGTCGACGGAGTAGCCAGAGCTGCTTCTGTAGCTCCACTTCACCCAATTTAACGTGATGTGGGCGCCTAGATAGGAGTCATTGGCTGATCAGAGATGAGCCAGGCTAAAGAGCCTCTATAAATAAATCATCTTTTTCAACTTTCCAAGCGGGACCTCAGACTTCCAGTTGCCTTTCTGACAGGCCAAAGTGCTACGAGGCAACCTCTCCACTTTGTTGTAGGCTTTGTAGGGCGGACGATAAGACTACAACACAGTATCTGGGTAGTAAATTTTTTACACCAGGTCTGTTTATAACTGCCTCGGCTAGAAACATGCTCACCTCCATGGCAGATTGCTTTGTTTTCATAGGGAGATTTGTAATTAGAGTTGGAGTCTTTCACGAGCGTTAAAAAAATAATTATTTGGACATTAGCTCCGATTCAACTCTTTACTTAACAGGGCCGATTATAGCTCAGTGTAAAAACTGGAAAAAAAAAAATGATTACAGTTTTATGTACAGTGCGTCGATTATAATTAACAAAAATACTTAATAGCGATGACATTGGTAAATAGTACTGTATACTAACTTGTGGCGTATACAATGGTTTAAGAACTTTTTAGGGTTGAAATATCTTAGCGGTTGTCAAACTCCCTTTTAGTAATAGTAAAATTAATAAGTTTTTTGTTTCTTCTCTCGTAAGCATCACAACCGCACCTGACACTTAATGATGCTTCTTTAAATTTTACTTTTATACCCTGAACCCATTAAAAATGGGTATAAGCACTAACCATACAATGTATAGACATACCAAATGGCACTTTTAATCGAAACAAGAAAAATCGAAACGAGGCGACCCCAATGGTACCTGCGACCATTTTAGTGTGCCCAGACAGAGTAAGACTGCTAAGAGTGTGCAGCCGAACGCCGGCCTCAAAAGCCGAACGTTCAGTATGAAGCCGCATCTTGCAGCCGCAAAAGCACAAATGTATAAAAAGGCAATGAAAATGGTATGGATCCAGACGCATGCTATACATTATGACGTTACGTTAATTGCCTGCCATAAAACCCTTTAACCTAAGATTATAATAATGCCAATAAAAGATTACTTGCATTTTTTCCATATCAAAGTGCAAACGAGCGACAAGTGCGATCCACCTGTTTGCAATAAAACAATCTAATCTACAAATCAAAATATATTCCATAAACATCAGCATCAAAAAAGAGAAATATTTACGATTTTTTAAAAGTAAACTTCCCAATGCAAATCAACAAGCGAGCATGTGAAAATATATGCAGCCACAATGACAACCCTAATTAATTATGACGATTTGAGGTACAGGAGTGGCCATAATAATTTTTGCATAATTTTATAAGAGGCTCTTCATAATTCTATGTGTACTATTTAACTTTAACCTTTGTAAATAAAATTTCCGTCGTTCACTCCTTTACCATTTGAACGCATTGATTTTTATACCCTGAACCCAATAAAAATGAGTAAAAGGGGTATAATATATTTGTACAAATATATGTAACAAGCAGAAGATAGCATCTCAGACCCAATAAAGTACATATATTCTTGATAAGCATTAATAGCCGAGTCGATCTAGCCATGTTCGACTGTCTGTCCGTTCGTCCGTATGCATGAAAGCAAGATTTTCTGTACCTATAAGAGCCAGAGACTTGAAATGAAATGTAGATCCTCCTGCCTGCGCGAATCGATAATGTTTCTGATAATCGATAACTTGCCCCGTTTCAGAGCGAGCGATAAAAATCAAAATCTAGCTTTTTAAGCAAATCTCTTAGGTTATTAGAGCTAGAGTCACCAACATTTACATGTATTTACATCTAGAATAGTATGTACATATCAAGTATGTTTCATTTCATAGCTATCGCCAACTCCACGCTACAACCAAAGACAATATAAGCACTAAGATGAGTAACGCCATACAACAAAATGCTAGCATGCAGGTTGATTTTTTGAAAATTGAGAACGAAAACGAAAACTGTAGCATTGCGCTCTCACAGCCGAGAGAACGAAAAAGCCTTGCAAGCAATTATGTTTGTATGCGTGTGAATATACATACATAACAGCATACTTGAATGTGTTATTATCCACTGCTCTGGCAAAGTCTCTGGCTGGCAAAGAAACAATTTTCACGACCTACCCAAAATTTCTGTTGATATATGAATGCATTTCGTGTACTGAGGTTGGCTCCGTACAAAAAAATTTGTATTTTTAAGTCGATGCAAATATTTATGTAATTTTTTTTATTTGAAATTATTAATTAAATTATTATTCTTTTTAAGTAATACAAAATAAATTAAGGAAATAAAAATGCACATTTGTTGTTTTCAAAGATACATTTAATTAATTTTAATTTATTTTATTTTATTATTTTTTGTTCGAATTATAAAGAACAAAGTACGCAGGGAACACCGCGAGAAGGCCATTATAATTAGAATGGGGTCATAACTAAATACGACCTTCGAGTCGACTTGAAATGTAATTGTATTTTTTAGCACTCTTTTATTTCTTAATTGGAGAATAAAAATAATATTAATTAAATTTAAGGAAATTATGTAAATATTCGCATCGACTTAGAAATACATATTTTCTGCGGAGCTAACCTCAGTACACAAAATGCATTCATATATCAACACAAATTTGGGATAGCAAGCCGCGACTTCGGCATTCGTTCGTCTGGTCTTTGGAGAACGAACAACCAGTCGGCATGCCGTACGAAGCCTCAAAGGCCAGATGAAAGGCCAGGCTAAAAATTTTGCGTCGCATTCAAATGTATGGGCGCTACTCATCTTAGTGTTTATATTGTCTTTGCTACAACTACATAGCTCAAGTAAATAAACCAATCATTCCTTCTAGGAGTCAATTGGTGGTATGGCTGTTGAGTAGAGGCGGTGGTAAGTAGAGTGGTCTGTTACGGGCTCGAGTCCTGTTTACTATTAACTATTTACTACTATAACTATTTTTGAGTTTTTAAATTAATTTTAATAACTGCATTAGGTATTGGTAGAGAGGGCAAGGTATGCCCTAGTTGAAAGCTCCCGGCTAGAGCCAATAACTTGCGTTTTTGTTTTTTTTGGATTGCATAATCTTACACTAAATACGCATTTCTAGCTGTTAGGCAACATTTTAAATAAACGCCGTAGCCGCACATTGCTAATTACTTTAAATAATTTTCGCTTTAGTGCTTGGAAAAGTAAAAATAACGTTTTTTAAGTGATAAAAGATTATTTCTGATTACAATTCACATGCATTATTACCTTACAATTTTTTTTTTAGTTTTTGCAAATTTGTAGGAAACGCCAATGAATCGAATTCAAATGTAACCAATGTGACTTTTTTATAAATATATCAAAGGTCGATGTTAATTTCGGATTGACATAAATAATACTTACACAATTGTATAACAGCATTAGTTGGTCCGATTCCACTTAATATATTTGGCAGTTGGTTTCTCTTTATGTCTTTTAGCCATTCCTTACTTACAAACTCAAATAATTTATTCCAGCCAAGAATACCTCGTCTGAAAGGAAAAGATTTAAAAACCATTTTATTTACAATAAGACAACATAAGGTAACTAAAGTGAAAATACAGCTTCCTAGCTTTTACGGAATGGGCGCTGCGTTGATCACCAATAAGTCAGTCAACAAGTCAGAGGTACTTTACTTCTTGCAAAGGGACAGTAGCTTGTTTATACTTTAACAATTTTGATGGCAACAACAATTTTGTTGACATTATTTGAGCTCGGCTTCCAAAGGCATGGTATTGTAATGATTATTCAATTTGTAACATACATTGGGTTATTTCAAAGACAATATAAACACTAGGACGCAAAACCTGGGCTCTTATTTGGCTTTTCCCACTACATACAACAAGCAAGCCGACCGGCCGTTCGCTTTCCAAGACGAATAAATGCCGAAGTCGCGGCTTGTTTATGCTGACACGAGCATCGAAGTTAGCCGCCAGTTTGCCTTCGGCAAAGCTGGTCGATGGTTCTTTGCATCGCATCGTTTTTGATCGATTGACGCATAGTACTTTTGCTTTATCCATGAAATGCATGCATTATTTGAATGAAACATTACCCTTGATACTTATGATAAATTTTACAGGAAAATGTATGTAATATTTTCATATTTGAGGCTTTCTGTCCGTCCGTCTGTCCGTTCATCCGTCCGGCCGTCATTCCGCCCGTACGTATGTATAAGCGCAAGGATCTCAGAGCCTATAAGAGTTAGAGACCTGCAAATTTTAGATGTATGTGCCCCTAGTGCCTGCGCAGTTCGCCTTTGTTTCCGATGATCGATAACTTACTCCGTTTTCAGGCAATCGATAAAAATCGAAATCTATATTCTGTTTTTTGGGCAATTTTGCCAAATAATACGAGCTAGAGTCATCAAACTGGACATATAGCTTCTAAAATAGAATATATATATGCATTTGATGTTGGAAGAAGAGGGTTCAGGGTATCCCCTAGTTGGGAGCTCCCGAAATGGAAATGGAAATGATTTTCCAAAAAGTGCGAAATACCCCCAAATGAATATGAGCAAAGATCTTTGGAAAGGAATTTGATGCCGATCTGATGGCTAACAAAAAAGTTTCATATCGTTTTTCGGTAATTTACCACTGTTGTGGGTGAAATTTCCCAAATCGTTCTTATGTAGAGCTCTGAAAATAAGTTTGAGGTTAATCTTACAATACCTTAAACTGCACCACTAAAATTTAGGATCGCATTTCTACCGAGGATGCTTTGCTTTTGCGAAAAGTGTGAAACGCGTCTCAAAAGATTTTTCATATAGATCCTTGAAAATGAATTTGAGGGCGAAACGTCATCCACCAAATCCTTGACCCCCAATTCTACCAAGGAAAAGTGCTAAGCACCCCTCAAATAAATTTGAGCAAAGAACATTGAAATTGAGTTTGATACAGATCGAATGGTAAACAAATAAGTTTCATACAAAGGTTTTCGCGATTTTTCCATACTTGCGGGTGGAATATCCCGAAATCCCGTCTTAACATGCCCAAAAGGTAACTACAGTGAACATTTCAGCTTCCTAGATCTTACTGTGTGTTGATCACCAATCAGTCAGTCAGTCTGTTAGTCGGTCAGTCAGGACAAACAGTTCAAGTCTCTAGCTCTTATAGGTTCTGAGATCCTTGCGTTCATACATACGGACGGACGGACGGACAGACAGACGGATAGGGCTAGATCGACTCGGCTATTGATGATCAGGAATATATATACTTAATGGGGTCGGAGATACTTCCTTCTGCCTGTTACATACATTTGGATTTTGTACAAATACAATATACCCTTATACCCATTTTAAATAGGTTCAGGGTATAATCATTTTTTCGCAGAATCAACGCATCCTCGGTAAAAAGTGTAATTCAAAAATAGTTTATTGCAGTTTTAATTTTTTCCGATTTGCTGCAAAATTATTTTCAAAGCTCTACATGAAAACTTAATGAACTCGTGTTTCAAAGATTTGTGAAATTCCAACCACAACAGTGGTAACTGGGAAACAAACGTTTGTATGAAAGCTGATTACTTACCGTCCGATCAGTATCAAGAAAATTTTCAGAGCTTTTTGAGAACATTTATTTTATAGATGCCCCGCGCAAGGCCGGGCTACACCTGCTAGTATATATATGCATATTTATACTTGCTGCTAGAGAAGAGTCATAAGCGGCTTCTGACCGCATTGCGTTAAGTGTGGTGTTAAATATAAAAAATCGCAAGTTGTTTTATATAATTTGTAATGTCTAATGTGGTATGTTAAAGACTATCAAAATATATCCTAGTCTTTATTTATTTCAGGCACAAAACATGGATAAATGTATTTTTCATATTAAGACAATAAAATAAATAAGACTATAGTTCGTTCTAACGATGGCAATATTTCGAGCAGTAAGTTACATACAGGAAACTTATTTTATTCTTCATATAAAACTTCCAACATTAACATTACCAGTTACGATCAAACTGGAAAATTTTATGGACTTAACATAAAAAACTCAGAGAGAATAAGTGTTTTGAGAGTCAGTTTCCCAACAACCAGCCTTAAATATTTCGAAATAACAACCGGAATGCTCTTGGTCTTCCTCACCTAAAAGTTAACGAGTGCCCCTCGCACGTTATAACATATTACTTTAAGGCATGGTGTTAATGCAGCGGGCGCCTGAGTTTAACGCCCTGATCGCAATGGATAGCGGCAATAGGCAGATCTCATGCATGTGTAACGTTATCGCTTATGCTTCTCTGTTGCCCTCAGCTCGCTATTGGCTTCAATTTCAGTTCTGTAGGAAGAGCTTAAGTCGATACCCGAGCTATGAATAAACGTTGCATCGGCACGTTGCTTTTGAATAATTATCATTATTATTATAAGAGAAAACAATTTCCTTAAAAAAATTTTATTAATATTAGGTTAATTCCAAATCGAATTGCTACATTTTAATTGTAATAAAGCACAGAGAAATAAGAAGTTCTAAACTTGTGCCTATTTCCCATTGTGTTTACTCGGGCCTAATAAACAAAACCCGTATGTGAGGTGCCAGCAGATCACTTGCATTGGTTAACGCTCATGAGCTACTTATTGAGGTCAAGATGGAATTAAATAGTGACGACGGGTGGGACATAGATCCAGATAATAGTTCCCGAAGCAAAATAATAGCACAAAAGACAGCTAATGAATAGTCTCCGCTTAAAGGATATCTCTAAAGCTAAGTGTCAAATGTGAAATACCATTATACATAAAACTATCAAGCTCTGCACACACAAAATAAGTAAGTAGCTTGGAGGCAATCCGCCTCCAATGCATATAAACCCGTATGGCGTCCGAAGGCAACAGAACTCAGTATAAAATTCAACTTTGACATTATATTATATATACTTATATTATACCTTGAATGCATCTCTGCCAACAAAATATTAGAACTACTCCTTCGACAGGGACTAAAGATGATCCGGCCAAGGCGACAACAGCCTTAAACTACTACGACGAAGTCGAACCAGAGTTGATTCTCGTGACAAATAGTCATTTGAGTCGTAAATCTGAACCATAATGTGGCCCAATAAAGAGGTCAGTGACGATGAATTGCACGCTTTTGTCTCAGAGCATCAGAAATCTTTGAAATCAATCATATTTTCAGCTCGGCCGAAGGATCTACCATTCACTTTCGCTTTGGCTAGGAATGCGGAAGCAAGCATCAAACGCAGTATGTTTGCTGCACAATTACCAAGCAAATAAGTACAACAGAAACCAGATACACCCACAAGACAGATAAGGAAAAATACAAACGACAGAAAAAAATCTAAATTTCTTCAAACAGGGCAAGCAGCAGCAACAATGCCAGTCCAAAACAAAACAATAAAAAAGATCAAGATCAGAAGTCAGCCATGCACATAGACCCGTTCTTTGGAAAAAGCCAAGTCCCTAACACACAGGCTGAATGTATAGGGCAAAAAAGGCAAAATTCGTCCGACCAAAGGTCAGAGGCGACAGCGCGTTCTCAACACTCCTCAGAGGCCTATGATGACGAAGACTATAACAATGCAGCAATAGCCGCGGTTGCCGATACCCAAGATGACGCCTCGCTTACATATGACAATGATTTGAAGAATTTTTTAAGGAACTCTCCCGGCTACCGTTTATCGAACGACAGCTAGCTGGTAGAAAAATAAGAATTCCGATAGACACAGGGTCGATTAAGAATTAAAAAAGGCCCGAAAAGGAACTAAAATATCTCATGCCGCTCAATTCTATCTATGCTTTTACCAAAATCCAACTGAAGTGTTTAATGAACATCTTTGATAAACGAACGAAATTTCTGTATACGCTCAGATCGTTCTTAGGGTTGGCCAGTTACTAAAGGTGTTCTGAATTTGAACCAAGCGCATGTCTATGGACAGCCTGCTAAAACGTGAAAGTGGATCCAACAGCAAACACATGTAAAGACAAACTCACATTAAGAAGAAGATGTCATACTCAGATATCCAGATTTCAGGTAAGCATTGAATCTTACGTCCAATGCTACAGCGTATAGTATTGGTGCGGAATTGGCATGCAATGAAAAAAAATTATTGGCTATATTCAGGGATCTAGGAAAGCTACAACAGTTTTCCATTGACGACATTTGGAACATAATCGCGCCCACAGAGCCGAACAAGAAAATATAAAACAGATATTGGGGAAATTCCACTTTCCAAAACTGACAAACCTACACAAATTGTGGCCAACTTAGAAATCTGCAAAATTTAAAGAAAATGTTCCGAATATGCAATGGTGAAATCATTAGTCTCACGTACGATAGCAGCCGTAATATATAACTATTTTCCAATATTATCATATAGGGCAATAATTAGGCAACCTTTAAGTCCGATATCATTACCTTGTTTCTAAAAAATAGGTACGGAGTAGTTGTTGTACACGCATCACAAGTCTACAGTTCGGCCAGGTAAAACGTTATCATATCACCTTACTGGAAATATCAGGATGCCTTAAGCCTCAAAGGGGATCCACGAC